GGGACGCGCGGGCCTCGCGGTGCCCAGCCCTGCCGCCCGCTGCCCCGCCGCCTGGGGGCGGGCTGTGGCTCTTTGTAAACTTCAGGTGGAGACGCCTGGGTTGGTTTCTGCCCTCAGGCCCCGCCTGGGGGTACCTATCCCTGCTGGACGCCGACTTTGACAGGGACCCGCCGAACAAGCCCCTGGCCGAGGCCGTGAACTACACGGTGCGTCTGCAGGGGGCCCGCTGTCTGCTCTGGGACACGCGGCGCCGGGAGCCCGAGAGCTCCTTGCCGCAGCCGGGAGCCGCCCCGGGAACGGTGAACTGCAGGTAGGCGCGGCGCGGAGGCGGGCGTGGGGGCGCAGTGCCTGCGTGTCTCCCCCGTCTGGCCCGGCCCTGAGCCTGCCTGGCCTTGTCCCCTGTGAGACGGAGCTGTCGGTGGGCCCCCGGCGGTGTGTCCGTCCCTGCGTGCAGCAGCCTCCAGGGAGTGGGGTCAGGAGGTTCCCAGCCCTCCCCAGGTGACGTGGGTCCCGCTCGGTGACTGGGACACACGAGGTGATGGGGGGATGGTAGACCCCTGTGGGTCCGCTCTGTGCCCCCGATGGTCTCTGCAGCCGGGCGGGGCCTCTGCTCCCCCCGCCTCCCCCTGCGGCCCCTGTGCCCCTCCCTCAATGTGGTTGTGGGGGTCGTCGCGGCGATGTCTGCACCAGGCCCCCAGGTCCGTGGCGAGGACAGCGGCGCCCGTGGCCTCGAAGCCGTGGCACAGACGCAGATGGGAGGCGTCCGCTGCGTCCTCGGGGCCCACGTGTCTCACTCGTTAGCTGACCCTTTAAACCGGGTCTGGGTGAGAACTGTAACCACTGGGACAGGTCGCCCCCGCCCGCCCTTACCCAGCGCGGCGCCCTGTGACGCCCGCGGCACTCACCCGCCTCTCCCTCCAGCTACCACAGCCTCGGCCACCTCACCGCCTTCTCTGTCTCGAGGAGAGACCTGAACACCAGCTTCGAGACGGGCGACCTTTCCCAGTTCCAGGGGTGAGTCCCGCTCCCTAAACCCAGGTCAGCCTGACCGCTCAGCTGCCCAGGTGTGTCGGCAGGTGCTCGGACCGTTTCAGGGGACAGGCCTAAAACGCCCTCTGTTGCCACTGTGTGGACAGAACAAGTATATTCAGGTTTGAACTGTGGGTAAGCAGAGCATGAACGCCGTGGCAGGGGCTCGGCTGCCTCATCCGTCCACCGTCCATCCGTCCGTCCCTCCATCCGCAGTCCATCGTCTGTCCGTCCATCACCCACACGGCTGCCAGGCTGCTGAGCCGTGTGGGGTCCCCCCGTGAGCGTCGGTCAGTCTGCTGTGCTGGTGTCGAGTTCTGCTCCCTCCCACTTATGTCCCAGGGACTCCGCCTGATGATTTAATCCATCGTATTTAGTCCTGCGTAGACGAGTGCGCGGGTCCGATAGCGATAAGTTAGCTAAGCAAGTCCCTGAGGCTCCGATGCTGGTGGTGCCCAGGCCTCCAGGGGTCCAGGGACCAGACTCAGAGGACAGCAGGTTCTAGGGGCTTTCAGATACCCCTGGGGGGTCTCCCTCCTGCAGGTGTGTGCGCATGTGTTAGCCCTGTGTGCATGTGTGTGCACATATCTGTGAGCCATGTGTGTGCGTGACTGCACCTGTGTATTAGTCAGTGTGTGTGAATTAGTGTGTGTGCATGTGAGTGTGCATGTGTGTGTTAGCCGTGTGTGTGTGTACATGTTTATGCATGTGAGCCAGTGTGTGGGGGGGTGTGTGAGCCAGTGTGTGCATATGTGCCTGCATGTGAGCCAGTGTGTGGGGGGTGTGAGCCAGTGTGCATATGTGCATGCGTGTGAGCCAGTGTGTGTGGGGGGGGTGAGCCAGTGTGTGTGTGGGGGTGAGCCAGTGTGTGCATATGTGCATGCGTGTGAGCCAGTGTGGGGGGTGTGAGCCAGTGTGTGCATATGTGCATGCATGTGAGCCAGTGTGGGGTGTGTGAGAGCCAGTGTGTGCATATGTGCATGCATGTGAGCCAGTGTGGGGGGGGTGTGAGCCAGTGTGTGCATATGTGCATGCATGTGAGCCAGTGTGGGGGGGGTGTGAGCCAGTGTGTGCATATGTGCCTGTGTGTGAGCCAGCGTGTGGGGCATTGGTCGACCTCTGACTACATGTTTGTTTTCACCCTTCATTCCTCTCCTTTATTTGCAGACCCCCGGAAAACCTGCTCCCCAGTATTTTCATCGTGGCTTTTACGATTCTTTATGTACTTTTGGTGACTAAAAGCAATCGTGTGGATCGTCGTGAGAAGAATAAAGCTGGTTATATTTTTCTGCAAGAGAACACGCCGCCCGGCCACCAGCTGTACGCGGTTGTCGTGGACACAGGCTTCCGGGCTCCCGCCCACTTTACTGCCAAGGTGACCGGGTGGGTGTCCTGGGAGACGCACATTGCGAGTGGCCGGGGCCCACTCGTGAGACGACCACGTGCCTGGTGAATCGAGGGGCATCTGGCCTTTCCTGACGCAGCCCGGCAGGGTCTGCCCCGGACAGGCCGAGGGGCCCACGTGGGGCGCAGCTTTGGGGATGGAGGTGTCGGGGGGACGGCTGGGAGGAAGGCTCAGGGGGACCCCGCCCAGCACTGTTGGGGTGACAGGTTCAGAACTTGGGCTCTTACCCCTGTGCCTTTGTTTCGAGGTCTATGTTGTTCTGTGTGGTGAGCGTGGCCTTTCGGACCCCAGGGAGCTCTCCTGTCCCAAGAAGCCGCTGTTTGAACGGAACTCCAGACACACCTTCATCCTGAGGTTTTGGACTGTTCCCCCCGCACCGTCCGGGAAGCAGGCCGGTGGGGCCGGGTGGGGCCCGTCACAGCCCAGCTTTCTAGCGGGACCAGCGGTGACATAGGGACAGGCTCAGTGTCTTCACAGTATCTGAGGTCGAGTAAGCGGCACATTCACATGAGGGACGAACAGAGGGATGGAGGGACTGGAAGGACGAATGGACTCCACATGCCAGGAAATTCCCACCGACTGTGTTTTCTGTCACTAAACGTGGATGAGCCAGGGTGCGAGGGTGAGAATCAGGCTCCGGGCCCGTGGCTGATGACCTGCCATGTGTCCCCAGCACCCCGGCCCCGCTGGGCCAGCTCCGGAAGATCCGCCTGTGGCACGACAGCCACGGGGCCTCTCCCGCCTGGTTCGTCAGCCACGTGATGGTGCGGGAGCTACGCGGGGGCTCCAGAGGCTGGTTCTTCCCCGCCGAGTGCTGGCTGGCCGCGGGCAGGCGGGACGGCCGCGTGGAGCGGGAGCTAGTCTGCCTGCGCGGGGGCCTCGGCTTCCGGAAGGTATGTGGCATCTGTGTCCCCAGGGGGCGCCCCGGCCACGGCAGGACGTGGTGCCTGGCTCTGCTTCTCTGGGCCGTGGCCTCCTCCCAGAGCTTGGCGTTGGTTCTGTCCTGGTTGACATGAGACAGGTCTCTGCAGCGGGGCCGACCGCCTGCCTCCCGCTGCCGGTCATCGCAGTCCCACTTCCCCTTTCATTGTACCTGTAACGACATCTGCAGACTGTACGGTTGCCTGTGGTCCGCGGTGTCCAGGCAGGTGCTCGGGAAGGACTTTTCAGTGCCCTGGTATATCCTGGGAAACCGAGGCAGCCGATAAACAGAGGAGTGGAGGGGTCAGGGAAAGAAAAGTCACCGAGAATCCCCAACCTGTGGGACAGGCGGGTCCCAGGCCCGCATGAGTGCGCCTTGCGCAGCTGTGACGATGCCGTGAACCCACCCTCCGATTCTCAGAGTCAGGTCTTCACAAAGCTTCCCACCGTCATCATCGGAAGGCCACACGTGACTCACTGTGCCCTGTTTTTTATTTTTATTTCATTTGTTTCCATAGCAGAAAATGGCGTAGAAGCCCTTGGACAGTGGCTCTGTGTATCTGGGGTCACACGGGCGCAGGGGGCTGAGAGCTGACCCTTCCCCAACATGTCCCCGGCGTGTCCCCACCGCCCCGCCGCAGGTGACAGCCCAGCCTCACCATCTCGGTGTTCTCGGGCTGACATCACTAGTTCAGTGAGAAAGTGTTTATGACGAACTTGAAAAGGGTTTTCAATCGGCCGCAGCACCCAGATCGATGCCTGGTCCAGGGGTGAGGTCCCAGAGGCCGTGTTTCCCATGTGAGCATAGCGGCCACGCAGCCACAGTGCGATTCTCGCTGCTCCTCAAGAGCTTTGGAGAGACACCTGTCCTGTGAGTCAGTCCCAAGGAAGCGTGGGGCTTGCGGCCGGACCCTCCTCCAGCCCGGACAGCCAGCCCGCGGCAGATTCTCACCCAGTTAAACCCGGGCGCCCGTGTTTGTCCTTCTGCGCTTTCGAGAGCGACTGAGCACCAGCCGTTATGTGAGCTGGACTCTGGGGTCCGTGTGGTTCCCTGAGCGGCGTGGCACCCACCGCGTGGCTGTGCTGCAGGGCGATGAGGACCCTAGGGGGGCCCCTCCTGGCTCTCAGGGCGCTCAGAGCCCGTGAAGTTCACCTGTGCTGGGAAAGGGCTGAGCCTGAGGGGTTTAGAGTCTGTTAGGACCACCAAGGAGAGAGGTGACCTGTCACCAGCCAGGGTTTGTAAACGGAGGCTCCAGCCTGGAGAGAAGGGCTGGAGACACTCGAGGGTGACACAGGCCAGGCGGAGACAGGGTCCCAGCGCTCCAGGGCCTGGTGGGAGGTGGGGCCGGGCGCGTCCAGGCTCTGAGAGCGCGGTGGGCGGAGGGGCTGCGGAGGGGCCGGGACCGGAGAGGCAGGAAGCCAGCTCCCGCCCAGATCGTCTGCCTGGATTCTGTGCAGTTTGTACAAACGCCAGGTGCCCTGAGCCTCCCATGGTTTGTTTCAGCTGCTGTTTTCCAAGTTCACGGAGCTCCTGGAGGACCTGCACGTGTGGGCCTCCGCACACAGCCGGCCCTCGGGCAGGGGCCTCCTGCACACTCCGCGCCTCAGCGTGGCCTTCGCCCTGCTGTGCGCCTACGCCTGCCTCGCCGCCCTGGCCACCGCCGCGGGGCACGAGCAGGTGGGACGCCCTTTCCTTAAAGAGGCTCCCGGGTCCCGATCTGCAGGTGACGCCCTCCTGACTCAGGCGCTAGTGAGGTTCACGGTGCTCAGAGGGGGTTACAGCGGGAAGGGACCCGGGTGCTCGAGGCCAGTGGCGACGTGGGCTTGGCGGGAGCTGAGGTCCACGGGGCAGCCGCTGGCTGACACCATGTGGACGTCCTGGGCCACTGGCCGCCTGGCACTCCAGGGGCAGCAGCCTGGGGTGTCCTATGAAAATGCTCTGGCTTCTTGTATGTTGGCAATTAGTTCAAAATTTTAAACACCTCTGATGATAAAACAGAACAGTCCTGATGACCACACCTGGCTGAGGGATGCCAGTTTGCAACGGCAGCTCTGGTCTAAGGGTCCCCACGAGACAGATGAATCCTAAGTCAGGGCTCGCAGTTAGCACGGAGTCCCTGCCTCCCCGAGGGCAGGTCCCAGCACCACTGTGGGGTGGAGAGAATAGTCACGTTTGCTTCTATGACAACCTCACAGCCGTTCACGGGCCCCAGGGCTGGGAACGTGGTGCAGGGCCATCTCGCAGGTGGGCTTGGCGGTGTGTCCACAGGGGGCGCCAGAGTTCAGCGTTCACTGGAACAGTAGGGGGTCAGGAGATTCTTTTTTAAAAAGAACAAGTGTGTAGAATTTGTAAGAAGGTAAAGAAGTCTCACCGAGTAGCAGGAAGGGGACAGCTGTGTCCACCCTGTATGAAGCCACGGCCACGAAACCTAAGGTCAGCCGCTCCTCCAAGGTCGACCAGTTGTCTGATCTTCTCTCTGCTTCTCTCTGTGTTAAGGACACTTTGGGGACATTGATGGCTTTTTGTCGGGTTGTAATGAGGATTAGACCAGCTTTGCCTGCAACGTACCTGGTGTCAAGCGGGCGGGCGGCAAACCTTTGTTCCATCCAGAAGGATCTGTGCAAGAGAGAAGCAGGATGTCCAGCGATTTCTCTTTTTTCTCCTGAGGGGGGAGGCCCGAGGTCAGGGAGAATCAGGTGGAGCAGGACACGCGCGTTCACAGGGACTGCACATGTGATTAAAACCACCCCGCCTTCTGAGTCCCGCTGACTTCAGGTTACATTTCACTGTCGTTACTGCAGCTCCCTCTGGGTGTTGGCCCCGCCAGCATCCCCCTTGGGTCCTTCAGGACGGGCTTCCTGTGCACCCTCCTGGCTTCTCCAGGGGCACAGCTCTTGTCGCTGCTCTTCAGGCTCAGCCAGGTACCTGTGTCCCACCTGTATGGCCCTGTCCTGGGCAGGACCCAGGGACACCCACCCTGAACCATGTCTTCACCCTGCAGGATGACCACGGGCCCCGCCAAGCGCAGCCACGCCTGCCCCTGGGAGCCACGCCAGCCGGAGCAGTGCAGGGTGAGCCTGCATCGGAAGACCTGGGCACATGTTCTATTTGGTTGAGAATCACAGCAGCAGGAAAGCGGTGACGTCAGATAGGAGGGTCAGACACTGTCCCACCAGGCTGACCCTTTCTGGCCAGCCCATGGGGTGGACGCTGTAGTGTGTCTGCTGCTTCCCATTTGCTCGGTTCATACGAGGATGTCCAACTTTAATCCATATGTTTACAGGACATTTATTTTAAGGGCATCCAGGCCCCCCCCCC